AATGAGAGTTTTCCAGTTACCTTAATGTACTGTAACACAGTATGTCTCTTAGCTTTCCATTTTTCTTAGTGATATGGAAAAAGTTTGGCGTAACAATTCTTAATAGTTAAGCTGCTAAATTGTCACCAAGATTCAAGAGAAATTTTATCATCTAATTCGTGGTTGGCTATTTGGTCGCTACATTAGTTGATATTAGTAGTATTACATTGATTTATGTGCTAATATATCGTATGCTTGTTCTTTACAGTCTGTAAACTCAATTGATAACTATAAATGTTTGGAGTGAAATCTTACATATTTTATAAAAAGTAACTATTTCTGATAAGAAAATGGCCACTAATGATTTATTAAATAATTATTGATGTTTACAACAAGTTGAGTACTTCGATTCTAAGCCGATGGTTGATTGAGGACCAATGCATGCACTGCACGTGTATGATTTAATTTAATGTTTGATTATACGTAATTATTACAATGTAGCATAAATCCTATAAGCTTGGATAAAAAATACAGTATACGAAAGACTGAATTTAATTTGTAATATAGCCATTTATTATTCGGATCAATATTTTATGGCGAAATACCGTACTTCCTACTAGTGCATCCGTTGCTATAAACTATGACAATGGAATTTCGTGTTAGCAATGGATTTAGAAGGTATTATCGAGATAAATAGTAAAGCTCTGTAGAAGAGTAGTAGGCCGGTCTACGCATAGATTTGAATAGAATATTGCCTATTTCAATTCTTCACTCGGTGCCGATTCAGAAATGCGATTTCAATTTCAAATCTAGAAATATCTCAGATCTTCCTGAAAATAACATTTTTGAAGCACACTTTTGATGCTGATTCAAAATATATTTGCATGTATGAATGATACAACATTATATGAAAACGGAAACCCTAAAGATGCTTTAGATTGAAATAAAAAGCATTCTATTCTCATTTGGCACTGATTGAAAAAAGTAATTTTGTTTCTGTATACAGTATGATCGTTATTCACTCGTAAAAACTCTATGAATGTCTTTGATCTAAGTAAAATCTATAAGTTTGAAGTAATTGTTTATTGCTAATATTACAATCACTTGGCATTGCTATACCGCACTACAGAAGTTAGCAAAACCCTAAGTCTTGAATTAGTAAATTTGCCTAAAGCAGAACTGAGTACTGGTCTTAATAGCTGAATTCGTAGTCATTAATTAAGGTGTGATAGAATCCATCACTGTGCTCAAACAGCTATTTTCTACGTTAATATTTCTTAATTTGTATAACTATATTGCTGAAGAAAGTAACGCCATAGTTAAATGCTACAAGTTATTATCGAAATTAGATTTCAATTCCACTCAAGATACTTCTTATGCATCTGCATAACATTAACTTCTTGATAATATCAGAACTTTCATTCGTATGGCATGGGGCGTGTTCAGCTAGTGTTACTACAATATTAATTATGCTCAACAGGTTGAGCTGATAAATACAATTATGAGCCTGCACTGTATAGCGTGCTAAGTAAGTGAGGTAGCACACCGAATTAGTATGTAGTACTTTACATATTATTAATTATTAATGGATTATAAATAACTGTTATTTGATTACTAACTAAAACTGAAGGCCATGCGGTCCTGTTTGTCAGTTGGACTAATGCATTTCCATGGTTATGCAGGAAAAGTTTATTGTTATAGCTAGAAGTTTTAGTGATATACTCAGAGATTTTTAAGCGACAGTAAGTATAGATTGGCCTATTATTTGACACAAAATGGAAGAAGTAAAAGAATTAATGGAAAACATGAAATATGGAGACTTCGATAGCATTGAAGAAGAAACCATAACAGAAATAGAACAATTCTTCGATGAATCTTCAGAAGAACGCAAAAAGGAAATAGCGAAATTATTTGATATAGATATAGATGACGATGGTGAGTGGATTAACTTTTTCAGATTGAGTGAAGATGAATATAGTAGCGAAGCAGAACCTTTATTCGATTTTATGTCAAGTTGTATTCTGCCTTACATGGAAAAGACGTCGAGGGTCAATTTCACCATGTTAGCTTTTAGATTTGATATGAGTGAAAATATTCCGAAAAAATATTGGGAAGAAATTATTGGCGTTAAAGATGAATACGCATGGAGATGGGCATGTCACCACGGAAGCCTTGGCTCACTTGAAAAACTGGTAGCGATTGGTGTAGATGTTTCTGTCCGGAACTATCAAGGTTTCCGCTGGGCTTGTCGTGGTCAATGTTATGATGTAGTGCATTATCTTCTTCAATTGCAAGGAAATTACCAACATCATCCTATGATGGAGCCGACTTTCTACGAAGATCCTGAATTAGCCAGATACCTTATCCGGATATTTATAGATACTTGGCGAATCCCTAGTAATAATTCTAATGTCGTGGCTATCAAAGATGCTTGTATGGCAAAGGTTGACTGGGAGAGTAAAATCTTCAAATATTGTGAAAAATGGAAGCAAGAGTTACAAAATGCAGAAAAATACAAGGAGGCAGAAATCAGACGGGCGATATCAGATTTGTTACGTTTGCGAGGGAAAGAAAGGTATGCGGCGACACTTTACTTCAATCCGAAGGAATTGTTACGAAAGATGATTTATCCTATATAACTTTTAACGAAGCCGTAGACAAATATCTATTATCTGATCGGTTTAAAGAAGTTTGGCATCCGGGATCGGACGGAAAGGTTTTAGATATTGTTCATCCTTCATTGGATCCTATTATCCACGGAATTGCTCCGAGTAAAGACTGGAATAATATGCCCTCGAGTTTGTATTTCTTACAAACTGCTTCTATTTCGTCTAAATATCAATGGCCAGCAGTAGATATCACTGTAGACGATTTGGGAAACATAGCTATTTCAGGAAATATCGGAAATTTATCGAGAGATTTAGACAAGGCCATTTACGATTCAATAACTTCCTCATTAAAAGATGTACTGCCCGCTTTTGAAGATGTTTTAAACGTAAATGATTGTTATTACCAATCATCCAGAAAGCGTTCATTTGATGAAGATGATTCTAAACATAATAAAATAAGCCTCCGAAATAGAAAACTTCAAGTCATCGTTAAAATCGCAGAAATAAGGTTAAAAAAGGGAGAATCATACCCAGGTGGAAGTTGGCATGTGGAAGGAACAACAAATGAAAAAATAGTTGCCAGTGCTGTATGTTATACCAATATTCAAGGAATATATACGTCAAGATTGGCATTTAGGAAATGGATTGACCAATCAACTTTGGCGTCTTACCAATCAGACTTCCATGAACCG